TTGTGGCTGCAATGCTGGTCTTGAGAACTTTTGTACTTCGTCTTTGTTTAGTGTTTACCCTTTTGGAGTTCAATGTCATCAAACAGATTTTACGATCGTGAACAATGGTTGTGTCGTACGTGACTTGGGTCGCGGTTATGACTCTGACCTTGAGTCTTCTTTTCTCCGTCTTGATGATACTCAAATTATGATGTTTATCACTCTCATATTTTCCCCTTCTATCAACACATCTTTAGCAATATGCTTTTTATAGAACTAGTCTTTAATATTATTTTATGCCTTCTTTGTATTATTTTGTGCTTTTCAAGGTGAGACATACTCGAGAACGATTTGGATAAAAAATTGGATCAGTTTGGATGATCAAGAAGGACAATTTTTAAAAATCAAGGATGGTTTGTCCATTACACGAAGCCAAATGGTGGGGAAATCTTCATGAAGTCATTTAAAAGCCAATAGGATTATTTTGGAGATAATTCAACAAAGACTGCACAAAAACTTGTGGAGGCGTTGTGATGGTGCCAAATCCATCAAGTCGTGCTGAAAATCCACGTGAAGGTTGCATGTGGGCAAAGAAAGCCAAATCCGGAGGAAAGCTTACAGCGGCATCGACCGTAGCAAGCCCAAGACCATGAAAGGCTCAGGAATATTCCTTTTTTCCACCCAATACAAGAAATTTGAGTCCCAGGGGTATGAGGACACCTTTGGCCAAATTTTAGGAGAAAAATACGGTAAACCCCTTCTTTCCTTCCACTAAAAATAAGTGGTGTCGACTAGACTTCGAACTACCTTCGATGCTTGCTAAGGATTTATGTTATAAGTAGGGGGTGGGAAACAGTTTACGATTTTCCAGTTTAACCGAAAACTGAACAGTATAAATCGGTTCGGTCGTGAACGAAACAGTTTACAACACAGTTTGGTTTGGTTTCAGGTTGAGAGGGAAAATATTTTGGTCCAATCCGGTTTTAACTACAAATCCGGATTAGAGACCCAATAGCCCTTGCCCACCCCTCAAGCCCAAGCCCAGACCCCAAAAACCATCCCACACCCTGGCCCAACCCATTCAAACCATAAAAAAAACCAATGATAGGCCATCCTCCTCACTTTCCAGTTTCCATTCTCCTTTTTCCACTCCCCATTTACATTTCACAACACTATCCCAATCCCAATCCTCTACTCTCTTCCTTTCCACCATGCAACGAGTGGTAGACAAGGAAAAATTGAATCAGGACACGATCCTTCTATGCCCACCACATCGAAGAAAATATTAGAAGAAGGCCAAGGTCCTGACTCTGAACTGGTGACGATGACTCCCGATGAGTCTCCGACGGTTATGCCAAAGGTAGCCTTCGATCTCCGCCTACGGTCTCAACGTGAGGCGGCGCCAAGGTTGGCGACCGGGGTGGCAAAGAGCAATGGGGATCCAGAGAGGAAAGAAGTAGGAGAAGGTAAAGAACTAAGGAGAGAGAGAGAGAGAGATGAAAGATGGTTGTTTGTATTGGGGGTGGGTGGGGTGATTTTTATTTGTTTAATTTGTTTCCACTCTGGTAGAAAATTCTTGTTTTATAGTGAAAGAGCCTTTCAATTTTGTTTGGTTAAAATCGTATCAAATCGGTTCGTATCTGGTTATAACCATTTACAATCCAATCTAATTTATGGTTTCTATTTCTCCGAATACTAGATCCGTCTTCTCCTTCATGCCTTAGTGACTCCTCTTGAATCTTGGAAGGATTCGAGGTTGATTTGATGAAAAAATCTTCCAAGAAACCTACAAACTTGTTATTATCCCAAGATATTTTCTTGCAGTCGTGAACTCTATCTCGCGGTTTGGCTTGTCGTGGATGTGAGACCTTCTGTACTTGGTCGTTGGTTGTCCTCTTGGAGTTCAATGTCATTGAATGGAGTTTACAACCGTGAACAATGGTCGTGATGTACGTCGTGCCTTGAGTCCCAATCGTGACTCTGACCTCGAGCCTTTTTTCACTTTCTTTTCACCCTTCAAACGACTTTCGATTGACACAAAACTTGGCACACACATTCCTTATCATGTTAGGACATGAGAAATATTAAGAAAACACAACTTAGCACAAAATAAAATGAGAATGAACAATTTTCAACCTAAATGGCCAATGATCGATAAACACGTTCTAAATCTTAGAGAGAGTATGATGATAGGAAGCTAAGTATAGCATGAAATCAACCTTAAATGGCCAAAGATGATAATGAGATATAAAAGCTTAAGAAATGGAGGCTTAAATAACACCAATTAGGGTATTATGAGTGCATATAGCTTAATTATGAGAAAGTATTATTTTTTATTATATTGTTGTGGATGATATTTTTGTCTGTAACATTCCGATTAAAGATCAACTTAGGGAAAGTTTTGGATGTCACGTTGGACAACATGTGGGTCTCCAATGTACAAATAGTCGGGTGAGTCATCCTCACAGTTTTTATTGCGCTCCATCATTTGTATAGAGGACATGATGAGTTTCCGAAAAGTATATTTTTCATTGTGAGTAGGTAGTCAAATATGACATATACTCTCGAGGGTCATTTGAAGAGTAATTTTCATGAGTGATTTTACTACAATCCTTCACGCAGCTAGATTTTGATAAGGACATGCATTTGGGATGGGCTAGAAAAATGAGTGATTTCACAACTGCCTGATTTCGAAAATCACATGTATAGAATTTAAAAATAGCTTACTCCAACTATTTCAAAATCTCCCATTTTCTTTATATTTTGTCCAAAGCTATCCCTAGAATTTCTTCCTCCTTCTCTACTTCTCAATTTCATAACCTCATCCCTGGCATTTCCTAAACGCCAACAACCAACCTGATGGAGGCACGTGTAGGGTAAAGGGTATATTAGGAAAACATCAATTAGTTAGTGATTAGGGTTTAGTCTATATAATGTAGTTTTTTGTTGTTCAGTTATTGGGTAATAAAGAAATAATAAAAGAATAGTTCAACGTATCTTTCAAACATTAAATTTCTCTCTTCTCTCTAAATCGACCGCCCCCTAGTTCTTGCTCGTCTCCCTCAAAATTTTCATTCAATTATTTTCCTATTTTTGTTCCTAATCACATTCTGTCACGATAATCTCGGATGCCAAGATCCATACATCCATTACAACCCAACAACAACAATACAATTTGCTCCAATGCCTCTTAGACCACAAAGACACCACCATCATCCCATTCTCCAGATCCTTCTTCGTTCCTAACAACTCAACCTTCTCGATGATTTTCTCTTTCTATGCCACGCCATCACTTCCCTTAATTTGGAATACGAACCACAATTCTATGTTAGAAAGTTGCTTCTCCTCCTTACTCATTCCCTTTGAGTCTAATGAGGAGGAAGAAGAGGAGGACAAGGAGAAGGAAATTATGACATATTTTTTGCAAAATTGTGTTTCAAACTTTAAAGAAATTTTTTATTCTAGAAAATTATGACGTATTTATTATGCTTCTTGTAAATGGCTAACTAACTAAGATATTAATTCTTTTATACCTAAGTACTAGAAGTGATATAAAAATAAATTTTTTTTTTTTGAAAGGAGAAGTGTTACAAAATTATTATTTCTACTAAAAATTGTTAAATTTGCTTCAAACACCTAGACATGCTAGACAAAAAATATGACCCAATATTTGCCTTACACCTAGTGCTTTCTCTAGCCTTGATATAGATTAGTTATTTGGAAAATCAATCCACAAAAGGCATGACTACCACATCACACCCCTGGTGTAAAAATGGGATCTCCCACCTTCTATTATTTGTTTTATTTGGAAAAAGTAGGTCTGTAGGTGAAAGTTTTCCCACTACTTTAATGGGTGCTTTGCTTTGCCACGAATTTCTGCATATCATAATGAGAAAGCTGCTTATGTATTATTGTTATCATTGTGATGGTACGGGTAATTAACAACGAAATTGTGCGGGTGAGCGATTGCGTTGGGAGGCAAGAAAAGTAAAGAAGAAAAGAACACTTCTTACAGCGAAAGCTATCTCTCGTTTCCAAAATCGGAAACAACGTGAGGATCCATCTAAGTTGGCCGAAAAAGCAAAGCAGCTTTCGTTTTCCTTCATGGGACTAACATCAAGTCTTGAAAAGGACTTCTTGTTATGGTCATTTAGTCATTTCTTAGTTGAGTCTAGATACTCAATTTCTAGTAAATGTCAATTTTGAGCACGTTGTCATTTTCTTTAATATAGGCAACATTTCTTTGGTGTTGGTTTTTGCTACTAATAAGCAACAATTTTCTTTTTATTATTATTTCTGACTGGTATAACTTATAAGGGTTAAGCAATTTAAAACGTTTTCTTTCTTCTTTAAGGTTAACTTAAGGCGAGATATTCTCTTTTTTATATGGTGAATGGCTATATATTCTATGGTGTATTATGAGTGAGTGACTTTGGTTTATTATCTTTATTTGAATTCATTCAGATACATTTTTGTTAGAGTAACTTAACTTGAAATATTTATTATCATATCATATGAACAATGTTCCAAATTGAAGACCTATATACATAACAATATAAATATATAAAACCATGTGTTATCACATAATTCAGTATAAAAAATTATAGTTTGATCAAATTAAGGAGGCAATAAAACCATATCACAAAATAATGAAATAATATTGGTTAAGCTATAACTACAACGACACAATTTCACACATATATTTATGTTCCTAAAATACCCCTCCATCAGTTAATTAATCTAACCACAAACTTCACCTTCGAAATCCTCTATCCATCTCTCAGTCCCTCATCCCTCAACCAAATTCGCACGGCCGCGCAACCGCCTCCTCTATTTTCATGTCGTGATCGGGATTCTGCTGGAATAAGTCATCAGCAAATTGTTTTATGGTACAACCTAAACTTATACATTTAATGTTATGGTACAACTTTAAGTTGTACATTAAAGCACCAATACTATATAGCATAGTAGAAGTGCTCTGTCAGGACACATACATATAACGCTGAATTCAAAGCAAGAAGCAACTCCTATTTCTTCTTCTTTGTTATTACCTGTTCTTCATATGCTGGTGCAGGCGGTGGAGGTCTAGAAGCCTTGACGCTTAGGGTTGAAGAAGAGCTGGAGTTCACCGAAGAAGACAACTCATTCCTCCGAGCACCACCGTGGTGGGACTGTGGTCTGGGAGCAGCCGCAGCGCCGCCCTTAGCCGAAGTATGAGCCGGTGGACCTTTCTTCCCCGCTTCTTTCCCACCTTTGCTACCCTCTCTTCTCTCAATTGGGTTGTAACTGTGAGTAAAAAGCCAGCCAAACAAGAGTCGATTCACATTTCTTGTCAAAATTTACAGAATCGCTTCCCAAGCAGCATTCTCAATCCAAACCCACAGAGCCTCGAAAGCAGGGAATTGAATCAAAATTCAAAATCCTCTAAACCAGAAACCAACTAATATTTCATGCTTAGAGGAAACAAGAGTCGATTCAGATTTCGCATCTAAATTAACCGCACTGCTTCCCAAACAGAATTCTCAAGGCCAAATACACAGAGTCTCAAAAGCAGGGAATTGAATCAAAATCTTCTAAATCAGTAACCAGTTTTTAGTGCTTTGAGGAAAACGAAAGAAAGCAGGGAATAGCTGTTGCAGAAAGAGGAAACTCACCTGACAAGGCCTCCATTGACGGAATCGCAGTAGCGCTTGAGCCACTGCATGAACTCCAGATTATCCAGTGGCCTCCCTTTCACAAGCTTGCTTACTTCAATATGCTGTCAATCCAAGGAAGAAAATAACACCTCAAAAACCATGAAGAAAAAAGGAATCGATCAAGCGATTGATTCAAACAAAACGAGGAACTCGGTCGCCAATCCAGACCTTGGTGATTTTGAGTTTATTGAACACATCCTGGAGGACCTTGTAGTTCTGAATCATCTCATACTCGCTCTTGGCATCGAAATTGACCTTGTGCATCGGCACCATCCCTGGATGAACGGCGTCCAGTAGCTGACAGTGAACCGCTCCAGAGCACGCCTGGAGCCAAACAATACAGACAGATCTGTGCTTAGAGAAAATTTGCTTCGCAAAAAACAGGAGTTAGGGTTTCAGAGAAAAAGCCAAATGAAACAAAACCTCTTCGACTTTGGAGAGGTTGAGTTGGAGAGTGGAGTTGATCCAAGCGAGAATCTCCGATCTGCCGACGAAGTACGCCGCATCCATCATCCCAATCTTCGTCGCCATCTCAGACGCTCTTCGTTTTTTCTCCGATGGTTTGAGAAACAGTGGGAATCGTCTGCGATTTCGTTGAGAGGAATGAGATATGAAATCTTTCGTTTCTCCTCCGTCTCCACACAAGGCGCGTGGTTTTTCTGAATTTTGTTGGGAGAGAAATACCGGAAACAGAACAGAAAGGATTTTTGAAAAGTGAAGAGGAGAGAAGAGCGGGGCACTTTTTACAATTCAAAATCGGGGAGTTTGAACTTCGAACCTTGACATGACCGTTATAAACTCGGGTTGTGCGGGTAGGGTTTCGGGAAACCCGGGTTTGTTTGGGCTTCCATCTCACCAGCCCAGCTTCACAAATTGGGCCAGAAATTGTTACCCAGGTTTCCGTTTCTTTCTTCGGTCACCAGGTTGTCAAACCCGGTTTCTATCGTTTTGTGGGTTTGACAAGTGGAATGGTACAATCTGTTTGTGTCGGTTTAACAAAATATGTAAAAATGTAAAAAAATCGTTAACATTCAATGAATTTAACCATATTTAAAACATAGTTGACGACAATTTACTTACAATCCAACAAATAACATCAATTTTTGACTTTTAAAATTCATGAAATAAATGATAAATCAATATTTTTTATTAATTAAATTCACCAAAATGATGTCATTTTGCTTAAAATTCATAAGTCGATCATTCTGATCATATCGTTGGTGTTCAAGCGACCAACATGCCACTATTATGACAACTATGGTCACCAGACAACTAGATCAGTCTCATCCCTCTCCAATGGAAGTTGTTACCATATGTATGATGTATCCTTTTCAGCTGATTATGTTGGGTCCTCCCACTGATCAGTTGTGTCTGCTACTATGTTTGAACTCCGCTCTTGGGTTTCTCTTATTATTTATTAGTGGGAATGTGGGATAATTATTGTTAGGGTTAGTAGTCTGTGGGTAGTATTAGGTTATTTGTCAGGGTTACCCCGGAACTTCATGGGACGATCAAAATGGGAGAAGTCAAGGATCCGGGTCCTACTATCAACTCCCCTTCCAAGATGAACAAGCATACCAAAGGGGGTATCAAGAAGCTTCCCCATATCAAGAAGATTTTCCTCAACAACCCGAGGAGAAATCCAAGTTGGAGTTGGTCATTGAGGCTTTCATGGGGCATTTGACATTTGACACCATGTGCCACTCCACAACCAGAGGCAAAGAGCGAATTAGAGCTCATGGTGGAGCGATTTTCCTAGCGCATCGATGAAGGGTGCTCTAGCATGGTCCTCCCAATTGCCGCCCCTTTCGACTCAACCTTTCTACGGGAATCGGAGGAGCTCCTTCGACACACGGAGAGGCTAAGAGGGCTTGTTGAGCAAGCATGTGCACAACTTGCTCACAATTGCCTCCTACCATTAGAAGGAAGAAAGGAAGATAGAGAGGCGAACCGTGAGAATTTTGGAAGTACAAGCTCCGACATGGATTTCCAACACCTCCCTCCTCCCGATTTGACACTAGAAGAGAAGGTGGCACGAGCTTGTGCGCGTCATCGCCTCTCACAATTGGAAGAAGAAGTGGAGGTTGAAAGGGGCAATCAATGACAATCGTATGGGGCAAGAGGAATTCACCTCGGAGAGCTCCCATGGTGAGGATGGCCAAGAAGGTTGCATTAACAACTCTCAACAATTTTCCCTTCCCGAGACCAACTTAGAAGACCAAGCCACGAGGGAATAAGAGCAAAAGAATGCATGTCATTTTGTGCTCCAAACCGTGCTTAAAGACATGGATGGGAAGGTGAGAGAAGAGGTTGTAGAAGAGGAAGTGAAAATTGAAGAAAGGGAAGATCTTGAGTGTTCCCAAGGGGAGGAAATTGAAGAAGAAGGTAGGAAGGTTGAGGAAGAAGTAGAAGGAGCAAGTGAGTTCCAAGATGAGGACGAGGTCATTGTGGATGAAGTATCCACAAGTTACAAGAGCTACTAAAGCTTTCCACCAGACCTCGATGCACTTTTGGAGAAGGACCCATTTGCGGCTCTTTGCCAAGCCAAAACCACTGGGTCTCTTGACGGATGCGATGGAAGTCAATCGATGATAGACTACATGGTGTGGGGTAAAGAGAAAGAAGAAAAATAAGAAGAAGAGGTCTCGTGGGTGGAGCCTCAAAGCCGATCAAGTTCACGAGCCCTCAATCATGGATTCGTCCAATGCTCGTGGCTTGAGACTTCATCTCACCCACGAGAACCTCAACTTCAAGGAGGTTCTCGGATGGACCGAAGCTTAAGGAGCAAACATCTAGCTTATGACGTAAAATTACCGCTTGTTGGGAAGGCAACCCAACGAAGGTTTGTGTTTGTTTTATGTTAAGTACTAATATTGTGTAATAACCTCGCCTTGCTCGAGTATGAGTGTGTTGCTTTTGTCTTTGTCTCCTTGAAGCTCTCTCCTTTTCATCTCCGGTCCAATTCGATCCCGACTTCATTCACCAAGCCATGTGGTAGCATCATTCTACCCCCTATGTTATGCCATTGAGGGCAATGTCGAGCTTAAGTGTGGGGGTAGTTTATTATTATGCTTGTGTGTGAGTGAATGCTTGGAGCCTTGATATATGCCCAAATTTGAAAATTTTGAGGGCTCCAATTAATGTATGATCAAAATGGTCGGTTGGTGGGTGAAATCTCGTGCTTATTTGGCATCGATCTTGAATGGTTGCATGTAATCGAGTGCATCCTATTATGATGACAGAGAATGCATTAGGATTGTGCAAAAGCTTAGTTCTCAATTGTGCTTAAATGAATAGATGTCTTTACTTGGTTACTTCTTGATTACAATTGTCATGCATAGAAGTTTTTGAAATTGGAATAGACGATTGGGCAGCTAGGTAGCCATGTGAGTTCTGTGCCAATCGTCTTCTTCATGTGTGATAGATCCCTCTCGCCATGGTGTGTAACATTCACCGTTGTCACTAGTGAGTATGATGGAGGAACAGGATTAGTCCACGCCCAAAAGTTGATTGTCACGAAACATTTTATCCCCTAGTCAACCCCTTTGAGTCGTGTGACTTTGGGGTTCGTTCTATTGCTAGGAGCTTCCCGCTCGATGAGCTTAATGGTGATTGAAAGAACGACCCCCACCCATCCTTTCTTCATGTCAAAGCGTGAGTCATCCTTGTGTCTTGAAGTTCTCGCTTTTGAGCTACATTGAGGTTTTACATAGGTGATTTTCCACGATTGTTGCTAGAAACGAGAAGCTAGTGTTGAAGGGAAGTTCTTAAAAAGAGAGCATTGTTTGTTAAATGAAAGAAGTGACATGTATTTAGCTCTTTAGTACCCTCCCTCGAAAAAAAGAGAGAAAAAAAGAAAGACCAAAAATTAAAAAGAGGTAATAAAACGGGTAGATAAAAGTAGAGAGTGGCCACAAAAGTCTAAGTGTATGCTCTAGAAAGGGTTTCTCGGTACATTGAAACACCTAAATTGTTTGATGACCTCCTTCACTAATAGGTTTGAAATGTGAATAGCAAGATAGGCCAGAGAAGTGTGTTTGAATGTAGTTCGTGATTGGTAGTGATTTGGAAGAAGGAAGTGGGGTTTTTGGCCAATGCTAGTGGCCTTTGTTTGTAAGAAAGGTTCTTAGTCGAGACCATAGAACTTTGGGGTTTTAGGTTGAAGATGTAGGATCTCATTCTATGTTTTCCACCACCCAAAAAGTATTCCCCATGTCCAAGACAATTGCAATCATTTGAACCCGTGTCTAAGACCTCCGGACAAGCTAGTGATGACAATCGTCTCGTGAACTCTAGCATTTAGAGATTGCCACCGTGGTGGAGAGACGATAGGGATGAGTGTGGATGATTGCACACATCTTTTGCACCAAAAAAAGCCTGACCCTACCGGTCGAGAGTGAGTGATTCATTTTTATTTTGCATGTTCATATCTTATCCCGGTGAGGACCTATGTAGCCCCGTTGTCTGTTCCTTGGACTTGAGTTTCTATGCATGGTTAGTTTTGGTTGGTGAGTAGTCCGGTCGAGACTTGCATTGATTTGTGAACAGGGTGAGAACTTTTCATTTGCCCATTCTTGATGAAATCGAATGTCGTTTGTGGTGGATGTCGGTATTATTTGAGGCGGTTATGTGTTGATGCCCAAATAGTCATTGAGATTCACCACTCTGTGCCTTTTGATTTGTCCCCAAGTTATCTCGTTAGGTTGAGATATCACCTAAGTTGAAAATGGTTTTCTTGGGGACAAGCAAACGTCTAAGTGTGGGGTTCGAGTTCATTTGTACACTTTTTTCCCCTCGTTTGCTTAGTCGTTTGAAGCATTTTTACTCTGGAAGGTTTGGTTTTACGCCGAGTTTTTGCCTTGTTTTGGTGTTTTCAGACTTTGGCAAGTGGAACCAACCCTGGAGTCGAAAGTTGGACGAAAATGCGAAAAATCAAGTCAAACGGTGGAAACAACAGCAGATCACGGTCACTAAGACCGTGAACTGGATGCGTTACCTATGAACAGCCAATTTTCACTCGACACAAGTCAGTTCACGGTCGTAAGATCGTGAACTCAGGCCATTGCCCGTGAACTAGGATTAGTGATGCATCGCGTTTAGATTTTAGTTCGCGGTCTGGGCTTTCAGTTCACGACCGTGAACTGAGCCTGGTCTGGGTATATAAAGGAGGTTGAGCTGAAGGAAAAGGGGGAGAGACCTAGTGTAAGAAACTTTTTCTTCAAATTTCTAGAGTGAGAAAGTGACGAACAAAATAAGAGGAGAAGCTAGGGTTTCATCTTCAAGAAAGGAATTGGGAATTCCTCCCCCAAAGGAGGATCTCTTCAACATAAGGAGCAAGGCTAGCATCTCTTTGATGGTTTCCCTACTTCTCTCTTGTGTTTTCCCTTCTCCTAGCATGGAGTAGTCCCTTCTTTCACTTGGGTGTTTGTAAACCCTAGCTACAATTATGTGAATGCTTGTATGGATTGAATGATTTGTGTGTGGTTGTGTTTAATGTGAATGTGGAGGCATTATTCATGAATGATTGTGTTGTGTGAAGGCCTATCAATCTAATTGTCATTCTAACCTAGGTAGAGAGAAAACCCCCTTCCTTTCTTTGAAAGAGACTTGAATGTTGCGTTTTCTTAGGCAATTCGTTGTCTCCTATCTAGGTTAATGCATGGCA